TTGGTCCATACTGATGTCTGGGGACCGTGTCGTGTCAGCGATATGTCTGGTTATAAATATTTTGTTACATTCGTGGATGATTATTCTCGAATGACATGGTTATATTTAATAAAAGATCGAACTGAAGTTTTTTCATGTTTCCGTATGTTTTACTTTGAAATTCTCAATCAATATCATGTTTCTATTAAATATTTGCGTTCTGATAATGCCAAAGAATATATGGCTGTTTCCTCTGGTTTTCAATCATTTCTTATATCTCATGGGATTTTGCATCAGACTTCTTGTCCTTATACCCCCCAACAGAATGGGGTGGCTGAACGAAAAAATCGGCATCTCCTGGATGTGGCTCGTTGCCTCCTTTTTCATATGAACCTCCCCAAAATGTACTGGGGGCATGCTGTTCTTACAGCATGCTATCTCATAAATCGCCTTCCATCCTCAGTGCTTCATGGGGGCATACCTTTCTCCACTATCCATCCCACAAGTCCACTTTTTACTTTACCACTTCGTGTGTTTGGGTGTGTCTGTTTTATGCATCGTCTTGCTCCTGGTCATGATAAACTCGATCCACGGGCCCACAAATGTGTGTTTCTTGGGTATTCTCGAACTCAGAAAGGGTATAAGTGTTATAGTCCAGTTAGTCGGCGGTTGTATGTCTCAGCAGATGTAACTTTTTTCGAGGATCAGTCATATTACTCCTCTACAGCGGGTCCTTCTGAAGATGTTCCATCTTCGACTATGGCTCCACTACCGCCTATTCTCTTAGCGAGTATGCCTGAGTCATCAACGTCATCGCCTAGTTTTCAGTTCGCCGACAAGACCTATCAATGGCGCCGGTCTGTTCAACGTGAGGTAGTACAGTCACCGCCTGCATTGGATATGCATGATTCTCCACCAGTCAATGTCCCATCTTCTGATCCACCAGTTGCTTCTGAGCCTGATTCTACTACTGACATTCCCATTGCATTGCGCAAAGGTACACGTTCTTGTGTTGGTCAACCCAATCCTCGGTTTACTCCTTATAGTGGTTTGTCTTGTCATACACATACTCGTTACCCTCTTTCTCGATTTTTATCATACGATTGTCTTTCTCCTACATATTCCTCGTTTGTTGCTTCTTTATCTGCTGTATCTGTGCCAAGTACTGTTGCAGAGGCTCTTGCTCATCCAGGTTGGCGACAAGCTATGGAGGATGAAATGCAGGCACTACAGGATAATGGGACATGGCAACTTACATCGTTACCTGCTGGGAAATAGGCTGTGGGTTGCCGTTGGGTTTTCACAGTGAAGTTTCAACCAGATGGCACTGTTGAGCGTCTGAAGGCACGTCTAGTTGCCAAAGGTTACACCCAGACATATGGAGTTGATTATGATGATACATTCTCTCCTGTAGCAAAGATACCTTCCGTTCGTGTTTTCATCTCTCTTGCTGTCCATTATGGTTGGACTCTTCACCAACTTGATGTCAAGAATGCCTTTCTTCATGGGGACTTGGTAGAGGAGGTATATATGGAGCAACCCCCGGGGTTCGTTGCTCAGGGGGAGTCTACCAGTGTTTGTCGTCTACGCAAGGCATTATATGGATTGAAACAGTCTCCTCGTGCATGGTTTGGTCATTTCAGTGATGCAGTTATTCGGTTTGGTTTGCGACGTTGTACCGTAGATCATTCTGTATTTAGCTCTACTTCCCCTGCTGGGTGTGTTCTCCTGATTGTGTATGTGGATGATATTATCATTACTGGTAGTGATTCTGTGGGCATTAAAAAATTGAAACAGTTTTTACAGGCAGAATTTAGCACAAAAGATATGGGTTGTTTGCGGTATTTCTTGGGCATTGAGGTGGCCTACTCACGTGATGGTATCTCATTATCACAGCGGAAATATGTATTGGATATTCTTAGTGAGGTTGGTTTTCTTGGAGCGAAGCCTGTTAATACTCCGATGGATCCTAATGTGAAGCTTGATGCAGAACAAGGTGAATTACTTAATGATCCAAGTAAGTATCGAGATTTGGTGGGTAAGCTCAATTATTTAAGCATTACCCGACCCGGATATCTCTTTTGCGGTTAGTCTTTGTTAGTCAATTTATGAGTACTCCTCGTACTACACATTGGGATGCAGTGCTACGTATAGTTAAATACTTGAAGGGAGCACCAGGTAAAGGGATATTGTTCAAGAATCATGGACATCTTGATGTTATTGGCTACTCTGATGCTGATTGGGCTGGTTGTCCTTTTGATAGGCGATCAACTTCTGGTTATTGTGTATTCTTGGGAGGCAATCTTGTGAGTTGGAAAAGTAAGAAACAACGGGTGGTGTCTCGATCGAGTCTTTGAGGCGGAATATCGGGCCATGGCTCATGTGACTAGTGAGTTGATTTGGTTGAAGATGTTATTATCCGAACTTAGTATGTCTTCTTGACTCCCTCCGTTCGTGTTGTGATAACTGGTCTGCTATGCATATCGCTTCAAATCCAGTTTTCACGGCGCACGAAGCACATTGAAGTAGATTGCCATTTTGTGCGAGAAAAGATTCAAAACAAGGAAATAACACTTCAATACACACGGACTGAAGACCAACTTGCTGATCTTTTCACTAAGTCATTGCAAGGTAGTAGAGTGATTACTTTGTGTAACAAGTTGGGGCTCTTTGATGTTTATGCCCCAACTTGAGGGGGAGTGTTGAAAGGGTAGTTTAGTCTTCTCCATAATTAGTCAGCCATAATGCTCACTATATATATATAGATGATGTAATTTGATTAAGTAAATTACGATTGTGTTTTTCATCATTGCACAACCAAACAAAAGAACTGGTAAACTGAAACTTGAGTTTACTCTCATTGCAAGAAGAATAAACAGTTTTCTTTTTTTTTGGTCAGAAGAATAAACAGTTAAAAGGCATTCTTTTGTTAAACCTGACAAAAACTCCATGGAACAGACATTACTTTAACTATTGCCATCGCACTTTTATTCACATTAGAAGACTGTACCAATTAGTTTAAACACCGTAGCAAATGAAAACAGGACACCTGCTATTTACTGCTACACAATTTACAATGAATTCGATATGCAGATAATTAATCATGATATGCAATTTCCAACAAAGATTTTCGCTATTTTCTCAATTTAAATATACAGTCTACTTGTTCGTAAATTATTCTTATTAATCAAGATCAATAGCGAAACAAGCAATACAGATACCCACATCGCCGGACTGAAGAAGCCAAAGCACAATCATATGCGTATTACACTTTTGACATGGACCATTCAAAATCCCGCTTCCAAGTACTTAAACAACCACAGCAAAATCAGCTCAAAGAGGGTACACACAAGGTAAAAAAAAAAAAGCCTCCAGTTTAAGTTGCTCTAGGATCAGTCCCAATTTGCCAAACATAAACAAGCTCATCCCAATCAGTACTCCCAAGAAGCCCTTTGACAAGTGCACCCATGTCAAGGCCAACCACAATCACGTCCGTTGGTTGTGCCCTCCCCACAAGCAAATCCCCCACCATGTAATCCAATAATAACACAGTCATATTGTACAAGCAAGACAGGATCAAACTCCGGCTGGCACTCAGATCCAAATACCATTTCCCAGCTAGATAATGCAAAACTCTTTATAACTCGAACCAGGAGCATCCAGTGGTAATATTCTTTGCTAGCAATTGAAAGACCTGACCTCCTAGATGGAAACAAACTGATGAAAAGCCATATTTATATTTAAAAGCAAGAGATCGATTCGAAAATCAAGCTCCAGGGTAAGGCAGCCACAATTTTGACAATGCATCCTTCATTTCTATGAAGATTAGCCAACAAGGAACTCATAAGAACAAAGAATGCCTAGAAGCATACTACCAATCCCGCAACACTACAGAAATTTCCACGCAAAATATTACAAAAGATTAAGGAGGCGATTCCATTAAAGCCATTGTTCTGCCATGAATAAAGAAGAGATCCTAAACATCATCCTGGACTTAGCAACTAAAATCAAAAAGAGAATCGCCTTACTTGGGGACCAGCATTAGACATACATGGGGATCACAGTCCTCGTAAGGCTGTGCTTTTCTAGGAGAATTAAAAGACCAAAGCTGGCGACAGAGCCCGGCAAAAAGCACTGACAAGCATGTAGATAAGACATTCACCAAAAAAGAAAGAAAGAGAAAAAAACTAAAATTTGAAAAACACACAGTATTCTCAGAATCTTGCATTTAGATCACTTCAGCTTTAGAAGATAACTATGAGCAATTTCTATCTTCAAATATTTATGAGAGATCAGTTCAGAAAAACTATTTTTGCTGGATCTCCCACACTTATCAACAACAGATTCATATTGCCAAAAGTTTCTATATATCAGTTTCTATCAATGACTGTCTTTGGCAGAGTTACTGAGCAAAGTTATAACCAAACTCAATGGCAACATGAACTTTCGGCCAATAGTTGCACTCAATGTAAGTAGATCATTATAAGTAAAAGTGCCCATTTTGTCCATAAGAAGATCAGAGAATAGTAAGTAACCCAACTAGACACGTCAGAGAGAGGCATTAAAATGACACTTTCAAATCATTTGAAATGCTCAAAAAACACAATTAACAAAGAAAAGATGTTTTGAGACAAGCACCAGAACTATTTTGTCAAAGAAGTTGGAACTCCCGTGCCCGGAACAGGTGATATACAAGTTAGAAAGAGTGACCATAAAGTAAGAAGTATCAAAGAATGCTGCACTAACCAAACAAAGGAACCGATAAAATTGAAAGTCAACCTCATCCTCACATGACAAAGAAGAGGCAGCTACATGGTCTTTCCTTGATCAAACAAGGTAATACTGAAAATTCATAATCGAGACATTAATTTCACTACAGCAACGGCAACTAGATCCTTATAATAAGACTACAAAGCTGAGTTAAAACAATCGCAGCAATAAACAAACACAGGAGAACCATCACTGATGCCATCCCATACAAGGTGAACATAACGAGCGCAAACTCATCGTTCTGAAAATGCAAATAGAAATTTTCCCTGCTTCATTGAATCTAATTTACAATCTATTTATTTGCGAGTCATTTACCAAGATCAACCGTAGAACGACAATTACGCTTTCAAATTTGGCCATTCAGAATCCTGATCCCAAGTTGATACAGCTCAATGAGCGGACGACCCAAAAAAATGAAATTTGTTATCCTAATTCAAGGAGCTCTAGGATCGGTCCCATGTTGCCAAACATAAACAAGCTCGTCCCAACCTGTACTAGCGAGAAGCCCTTCGACGAACACGCTCATGTCGACGCCCACAGCGAATTCCGTGTGATGATCATACCTCCCCACGAGCGAATCCTCCACCATGTAATCCCACAAGCACACCGTCATGTCGTAGGAGCACGACGCCATCAAGCTCCCCCTGTGCGGCGAGAACCTCACCTTCCTCACGGCGTACCCGTGCCCGTTGAGCGCGGCCACGGGGACCCGGTAATTCCTCACATCCCAAATCCGAATGCTCTTGTCGACCGAGCCCGTGGCGATCACGACGCAGTCGTCGTACTTGTTCCAGTCGAGGGAGAGGATCTCGAACTCGTGGGCCGGGATGATCATGGTGGAGCCGGGCTCGCGGACGTCCCAGATGCGGACGGTGCAGTCGCCGGAGGCGGAGGCGGAGGCGAAGACGTCGGCGTGGCGGGGGTTCCAAGGGGCGGCGGAGTAGACGCAGTAGGTGTGCTCCTTGAAGGTACGGAGGCTGGCGGGGCGGTCGACGGTCCAGAGCTTGATGGTGTCGTCCCAAGCGGCGGAGAGGAATGAGTCACGGCGGATGGGTACAATCCCAAATATTATTTTTGAGTAAATTTATTATAGAAGTACAAAAATTTGAGATTTTCGGTGGTTAAAAAATTAATTTTAGATAAATTTATCAACGTATCAGTTTAGGATTTTTCATGATATTAATTTTTAAAAAAACAGGAAAAAAAGGAAAATGAGAAAAAAACCTAAATGGGCTCAGTTTGGGTTATTAACTGAATTGGGTTTGGTTTAGTTTTAGAAAGTATAGGCTTGGTTATAGTTTAGATAGATTTGGGCTGAGTTTGATTTTTTTCTAATTGAAAAAGGGCTTGATGTAAGAGCCCATTTGTATCTACAGCCCAAACCCTAGCTGATCAAGTATCCATGTGAGGACCAGGCCCAAGGGCCCAGACCGTGTCTCTTTTATTAGAACAAATAAATAATAAATAAATCGAAAATAATAAAAAATATATAGGAAAAACATATTAGAGTGTGCAGCTTACGTTTAAGCGTGGTGACAATAAAAATAATAATAAAATAATCGAAAAATGAAAATTTGGAAAATGCTTAGGAAAATAGGCCTTGATTAGGTTGTTAGATTTTAATATTAAATTTATCTTAGTTTCATTTAGTTTTTTTTTATCGAATAGTTTATTTTAGCTTGTATACGTATATTTTAGGGATTTTAATTAATACCTTTGATTTAGTTTAGGTTTAGGAAGATTAATCTTTTAGAAATGAAATTGGATTTTATCTAAATTTAGCTCATCAGGTTGCTGTCATGGGGCTTAATAATAAGGCCAAGTTTTTTTCTTGACTAACTCGTATTAGATTACACTACAAAAAAACACCGGATTAGCGACGAAATTTGCGACGGAAAATTTGGAAAAATCCGTCGCAAATCGAATTTACGACGAATTTTACGACGGAAAAAATTCCGTCGCTACTAGGTCGTCGCAAAATTTTGCGACGGAAAATTTAAAAGTTCGTCGCAAATTAGCCACGAATACAATCCGTCGCAAAATTCGTCGCAAATATTTCGTCACAAATTTACGACGAACTCTATCCGTCGCAAAATTCGTCGCAAAATTCGTCGCAAATTTCGTCGGAAATTCGTCGCAAAAATTCGTCGCAAAATTCGTCGCAGATTTCGTCGCAAATTTCGTCACAAAATTCGTCGCAAATTTCGTCGCACAAATTCGTCGCAAAATTCGTCGCAAAATTTCGTCGCAAATTTCGTCGCAAAATTGGTCGCAAATTTCGTCTCAAATTTCGTCGCAAAATTAGCGACGAATACAATCCGTCGCAAAATTCGTCGCAAATTACATCGCAAATTTCGTCGCAATTTCGTCGCAAAGTTCGTCGCAAAAATTCGTTGAAAAATGTATTCGTCGCAAATTAGCGACGAACTGTAATGATCGCAAAATTCGGCTTAAAATATTCGTCGCTATGTTTACATCATTTCGGCCATAAATTCTTGTCCATAACAAACAAAGGAGACAATGACATATAATTGAAACAGAAAAACGAACAAACCATAAATTCTGACAAACAAGCCACAATGACATATAATTGAAACAAATAACTGAAGGAAAGTTACAGAGTCTGACATGATGCTATTGGATATTCAATCTTACAATACATTCAAAACATGAACTAAGAGACGAGACAACCATAAAAGACGCAGAAAAACCATACACAAGAAGACGCAGCTTTGGTACGATGGCATGACACCAAAAGTAGTCACTTTTGTCGAGACCTGAGGAAATGTCGATGCATAAATCAGTTCAGAATATAAAAGAAGCGTTTATGCATGGATGTGGAACTAGGTGTAAAATAACAAGAGGGTTAACAAAAATACGTTTCAGGACGAACATAAATGTTCTTACTTATAAATATGAGTGAAATTATAAAAAACCAAGATTATGAAGCAAGCTTACCCCCGATTTTGAGAATTTTAACTAGAAAGACTGGAGAAAATCATCATCATCATCATCATCAGCATTCTTGGCATCAATGTGTTGGTCATCATTGTGCCCATCACCTACTGGATTGGTTGGAGGTACAGGAGGATCGTCATAGCGATTGAGGTTAAGGTGTTGCATAACGAGTCTCATTTGTTGTTGTAAGTTATTTATTTGTTCGTCCTTCTGAACAAGTAAATTATTCAGACGATGCACTTCTTGGGTCAATTGCTCGTCTTGTCGTGGCTTCCTTCGACCAGTCGCAGTGGATGATGAACTTCCAGGATTATTCGGCATGTACATCCTTGACAACGATCCCATCCCAAATATTTTTCCTTTTTTCACCCCACCCGTTGCCTCCATCCATAATGTCATATTATCAACTGGTGGCCCAAACTCAGGACAATCATCACTACCACTAGCCACTGCTCATTAAAAGTTCATCATATTTTTCCTACATTAACAATGTAGATGAAAATAAAATCACTATATATATATACATATATCTACCATAAATATTGAAAGCATTCAGGGTTTTCATTATAGTTTACATATAAGCCAAAGTATAACCTTACATACCTTAATGACTTTTGCTCGATCGCTTGATCCATGTCTTATCTTTCTTTTGAAATGTGCGTTCAAATGTAGCTGCAAATGTGGGTTCCGTCCCCAATTCTTGTGCCTACAAAATGTAAACATGAGTAATTGAATTAAATTAACTTATAACTCATTTAACAGACTCACCAGTCGTTTGCGATGCTCTGCAATATTGATAGAACCCCCAGCATATGTGGCTGACCCATCATTAGAGCTAGAAGATCGATTCTTCTTATTCTGCTCACAGAGTTGCCGACTCTGTTCAGATGCTCAAAATCTGTTAATTGCCGCCCAATTATCAGCTGTAAGGAAAGACGGCTTCACTTGCTTAACCTTGGTTCTATTCATGACATTTCGCATAAAATCATTGTTTTTCTTATCGAAAATTCTTCTCACTTCATTGTCTTCCGCTTCCTCCCACTTGAACTTCCGCTGCAATGAATAAAAACACAAATTGAAAGTTATTATGATGATCACATATCCATAACCATGCACCAGACAAATATAGACAGATTTTGTAAAGTTCATGTCGGGGAAAATATCTGGTCCTTTAGGTATCGAAAACTACAGAGTTGTTCTGATCCCTTTACATCATTCTTGACCATCAATATACTACACCAAACTTAATTGGTGAGAAAATAAAATATGTAAAACTTACCTTGAACTCATTCCACCACATTTCTTTCACTTCTTGTGGAACACTTATGTAATTAATATACTCTCCCGTCCAAAAGTTTCTTACTATTTTGTTCAATTCCCTCACAACAGACGGAGCATCCGTGAATCTGCAATCATACGGATATTGTGCAACATCGACAATTCAGTTGACATCAATATCTAAAGCCCTAAATATTACATATACTAAAATAAAAATGAAGTACTTACGAATCTCCAAATGGGCATATGAAGAATCGGTTATCTTCTTGACCCGTGTTTCCGTCAATATTCGATTGTTCCGCCGAATAATGGGGTGGAACGGAAGGAGAGGGAGCTAAAGGAGATTGAACTGGAGGAGATTCAGTTCGCATGTGGCCAAGTCCCGTAACATGTTGTTGAGTATTGGAGGAAGGGCCAACGTGTCCATATTGTGATGGACCATATTGTGGTTGAGGGTTAGATGACGGGACAGGGGAAGAGGAAAGGGCCGGGGACGAGGACGAGGAAGATGCTTGTCTTCTATACGAATGACCTCCACGTTTATACTGACAAGTAGGAAGGTTATGCGAATATGTAAAGAACTATTGACACGTATTACGGACACATAATGATGTACATGACAAAGCTTACCATTTTGATGGAAAGACTGAGAAAATGTTTCCTTGAAATGAACCAATGTCGAGTGCTTATGACGTGCAATTTCCTACGAACAAATATACTATGAATCACATTCATTTGATATGAAACATCAATATATGAGCACGATATGGGTGGCCACAGGTATCAAACATCACTATATGAATCACATTCATTTTGATTAAATTTTTTCACTGAAAGTGGGTGGCCACAGGTATTCTAAGTCATTCTGTAAAGTTTTGTAAGAGAAAAATTGTCATTCTAAGTCATTCTGTAAAGTTTTGTAAGAGAAAAAAATAAATTTCACTAAAAGTTGGTGGCCACCGATATTCTAAGATATTCTGTAAAGTTTTGAAATTTAAAAATTTGTAGAATTTTTAAATTATTATTTTTTAATATAAAATTTTTCCTGTGAAATAAAAAAAATTTCCATACTAAAATTGGGTGGCCACAGGTAGTATAAGCTATTAGGTAAAGTTTCCAAAATTTTTGTCCTTCTTTATTTTAAATATTTTTAGGGCACGTTAAAAAAATTAAATATAACTAAAAATGGGTGGCCACAGGTATTCTAAGCCATTCCGTGAAATTTTGGAATTTTTTAAATTCTAATTTTTTTTTGGCGACCTAAAAAAATTTAAATTGCAATTTTGAAATTTTATATTTTTTTAATTTTTTTTCACCCAAAAAAATAAAAATTTCCCTCACAATGGGTGACCACATTTATTTTAAGCCATTTTACAAGGTTATGAAAATTTTTAATATTTTAATATTTTTTGTCCTGGAACGTTAGAAACTCTAAATTTCACTCAAAATGGGTGGTCACTATTAATTTTTGCTATTTTGTGATATTATGAAATTTTAGTTTTTTAAAAATTTTAAAAAAATTTTACGGTCAAATTTCATATTTGTTGTCAACATATACCGTTTTTTTAATTTTCCGTAATTTTACATGATTTTTTTTATAGAATTGTTCAATTTTCAAGCATTTTCTGTGAAAACGCTTAATCAATCACCCTATCGTCATTTAACGCTTAATCATCCACATAATAGACAAATTAACCAGTCGACCATCGATCAAAGCCACATGCAATCTTGAAATCGACCCGTAAGCCAACGAAAAATGATCATAAATAATCCCTAAACAAGTCCGACTAATTACCTAATTATACTAACTAGGGTTTAGGGAGTTGCTTA